ATCTTACAGCTTTTTAATACTTATAAAAAGAACAAATATTCCGAAATTTATCATATCAAGTAATAAAAATTCAGACTGTATAAATAGTTTTATATAATAAATGTATTGAAAATATGAATTGGAAAGGGAATGTATTTTAAGGTTTAATACAAAATACAGTCTATTCTAAATTCCTTACAACTAACTTCTTAATATTTCTACCCTTAAATTCTATTGAATTAAAAACTATACATTATATAATAAGAAAAAGTGCAATTATGTACATATATATTTTATGAGTATCTAATAACGAAACATTTTTTTATAGTTGGAAATATATCATTAATATTATTAAGTTAAACTCATAAAACTTATAACTTAAACTTGGTGTAAATGTTTTAATTTGAATACATTTAAATATTATACATACATATTTCTATTCATATTGATACAAACTGTCATTGTATGATAGAAGTAACTGTTTATACAAATAGATATAGTAAAATAAATATTATAAATCAATTCATAATAAAAGTTAGTTAATGAATTTGTTAACACATTTACTTTTATGAAAATAGGTAGGAATTTGCTATTTTAAGAATATATTTAACCATTAATATGGTTCACAACAATGATCTTTCATTTCACTGCATATAATTAAATACATCTTAGTGAGTACATTAACAATTCAATGTTAATCAATACACATTTTAATTAATTAAAATGATTTATCATATTCAATATAATTCTCTGATGACTAGAAGTAATATTATTTTCAAACTAATCTTTTAAATGTTCCAAACATTTTAGAGAATTATTTTCACAAAATATTTCATAAGATTTATAAATAAAATGTCTTAGTTTTAAACATTATCACATAAATTATGATTTATTAAGGGATCCATTTTAAGTCATGAAATTTTTCGAAAACTTTATTCATAAAAAATGACTTATTAAAAATATAAAATAATTTTATTAATTTTTTATGAAACCCAGAAAAAAGGTCCTTTGAATTATAATGTAACTTTGGCATCAATCAGGTCTAATAAGTTACTTAAATCCCGACAGAAAATAATTAAGATTCAGTCCAAGTTATACTAGGTACCAAAATGATTAATATACATCAAAACATTATATGAATTAAAAAAAAAAAATTAAACATAAATATATTTGGTAAACAAAAATGTTACGATACTAACACTTTAAACAAAATATTTTTTTATATTTATTTATAATTATAATATAAAACATGATAATAATATGCAATGATATTTTCCGTTTTTAAGCTACATAATATAATTATAATCTGTTAATTTAGAAAAGGTGGTACCACTGGTACCAGTTTATACAAGTGGTGTCAAATTAAAAAGGGAATGTTGCACATAGAATTATTAAATTAAAATTTTTATCACAACTGTTTTGTTGAAAACATTTGATTCGCGATAAGACATAATTTAAGGGTGGAGAGATGATGAGAAATTCTTATAGGATCTATGGTTCAATAAGTTAGAAATAATATCGAGAATGAATTATAATGTGACTGGTGAAAATAATTTAAAATAAGAGGAAACGACTAAGTCGCTATAAATTTCAAGTGTTTGATTTAATATTAATTTTTTTATCATACTGCTAATGTTATTAATTTAAAAAATACTAATATGGAAGAAAAGCATTACCCAGTCTTATATATTTGGAAACAACAGGTAACGAATCAAGGAATAATCATTTAAATTAAATAAAAATTAATACTATAGGAGAGGGTATGATAGGTCACCATCCTTGAAGTCTGAAACAAATATTTATTAAGGTAACAATTTAAATGTTAGATTTAAGCTGATGAACGTTTACCTCAAGTCATCCTGATTGTTGTAATTATGAATAATAATTGCACCAGTATAACTGTCAATTCCGGGGTCTGCCATCTGGCATTGAGGATCCATAATGATGTTCGTATAGACCTGTAACATATATATAAATATGATATAATATATGTATATTTATTTTAGTTTTCTCCTGTACAGTGTTTGTTAGGAACTTGTTTTAAATTTAAAATCCTTATGCAATAGAAGTCGGATGATAAGTGGATGTCTCTCTGCTGTACCCACTGATGTACAGGTTTCGAGTTATATACTTTTATATTGGATGATGTTGAATTWAAATTTAATGATATTCTATCTTAGTATAGGAAAAACGATTCTGTGTTATTATGTCAACTCATAGTTAACCTATCGTTTGCACATAAACATAACACACACACACACATTATTGTAAACAAGTACATTTATCGCACTTCTCGGAATTTTAAAAATTAAAAAATTAAAAATTTTCAAATTCTCGTTAATTTAATAACTTACGAGAGATCGTGTACTATGCGTTAAAATCTTAGATAGAAACAGAGGCGGTTTGAGTATAATGTTTTTGGTGCACTGCACCATCAATGTTAGAGGGGTGGGTGGTCTTAGTTGAGCATGTGCGCAATGTTTAATTTTAATGTTCAATAAATGAAAAAAAT